GCTTCCGGGCCCCCGCGGGGAGGCTCAGGATGCCGAAAGCCGCGCCGCGCTACGCTCTTCCCCCGCGAGGCGAACGGCCTTCGCCCCGGACTCGCTGGCCCCCGGGGGAGGCGGCGGGCGGGGGCTGCTCTGGGCGCCGCGGAGAGGCTCCGCCGCTGGAAAGGGGCACCCCTTTGCAGGGAGGGAGAGTGCCGATCACCCGCAACTTGCGGGCACAACAATAACAATAACGCGGGTGGCGAAGGGGAAGGAGGGCGCGCGGGGATGGACCAGGCGCGGGCAGCGCGGCGGCCTCGGGAGGCAGATGGGGTCGGAGTTAGTGCGGGGGGGGGCGGGGAGGAGGAGCGCCAGCGGTCAAAATAGTCCTGAATAAATAAGAAATATAGTCCAAGAATTGATGTTAATTGGCAAGTAGTTCGGGGAGCGTCATCAGGGCACCAGTCACCCTGATGACGCTGATTAAGATTCCTAATGTTTGGTGCAGATGGATTCGGTCTCACTGTTCAGAAAAGCTCAGTCAGCCAGAGGGAGGTCTGGGCCACCTATGACTCTACCTGGGGCCATGAAGAACCTCTCCCAAAGCTTTCGATGGGGCACTGGGAATCACCCCAAGAGTTGCCCTCCCTTTCATTTTTAATGAAAAAGGGAGAATATTAAGGATACAAGGAGGAGTGGGATTAAAGTCATTAAATTATGATTCATATTTATTTTATTAAATTTATATAGTCGCCACTTGGGTCTGTGACTCTGGGTGACATACACAATTCAGACAAAGTTAGAACAGAACCATGAAAAACCATTAGAACAAAAACTATGAATATAAACACAACCATGGGAGAGTGCATTCAAAATCCTACATACAATATAGCCATTTTTCAGGCTCCTTATTTCCATGGGATCCCCAAGCCAGCTGACGGAATTAAGCTTTAAGGGTTTTCTGGGAAGTCAGAGTTGGAGCCAGTCTCACCTTGTGGGGGGGATGATCTTCCAAAGGGCAGGTACCCCACCAGAGAAGGCTTGCCTCCTGGGAGAGTCGTATTGGATTTAATTTCATTTGAAGCTTATTAAAGCTAAGTTTATCAGCTTGAGCTTTTCGTCTAGCTCTTGAAAAGTGCCCCTTCCCCAAAGGCCTCAGCATAAAGAAGGTGGAAACATGGAATAAATCTTGTATGGGGGTTAAAGGTACACTCACGTTTCCTCCAGGAGCTTAGGTTGGCTTGTATGGGAATCTTCCCTTCTTTTAAGTCCCCACCACAACCCTAGGTAAGTCATTAGATTTTTTTCTACCCAGTCAACCCTACTGGGTTATTGTGGCAGGGATAAAATTTGGAAGGAAGAGCTCTCTATTATTTGTAGGGCCTGAGCTCCTGCAAAAAAGCTGAGAAGTCTGACAAATAAGGGTGTATAGGATTGCAAGTGGAGTCTGTTTTTATTGTCCTTCTGTCTCTTTCAGAGAATACGTGATTGACCTGGATGAAAACTCCCAACATTTGATCCGCTACAAGACGATTGCTCCCTTGGTGGCCTCAGGGGCAGTCCAACTCATCTAGACAAGGTGGACTTACAGGCACCTTTCTGCGAAGAGACCAACCGGAAGAAGGATCTGTGCCCCTGAGGAACCAGTGCTTCATGATCCCCCATGCCTGACTTTGGGAATTTAGCTCCACTGGCTTGATTTCAGCATCAGATGCCTGGACTTCTTCTGTTAGTGCTGCTGAAACAACGATGTGAAATTTTGTCCCTGGGAAATGGGGTCCAACCCACACGAAAGAAGGAGAGGGTGGTGGCATTGGAGAAAAGATTTGGAAAGTGGGACGAACTAGCCCAGCAACTTGGCTGCTCAAAGGGTGTATCATTACCTGTCCAGCAGGTGGCAGTAGACCTGTCCTGGACGGGCCAGGTTCAAGCGACAGAATGAAAAGATGTCGTATGGCAAAGAGTGGGCAACTTTTTTGTCTGGGAGAATACTCTTTCCCAACCATCTAGGGCTGCAGGGGCATGGCAGGAATGTCACTGGAGAGAGCGACTCTGAAACTCTTGAGATTTTTTTAATTTGGGGGAAGGAGGGTTGAAGGGAAAGAGGTATGTTTCACCCTGTGGGTGCTTAAGGCTTAGTTTCAGTGCTTTCATTGCAGCGCTGAAGAAAGTCGACAGCAGCATCTCGGTGACAAAATTGCAGATGGGTGCTAGGTTCTACACAATTGTATCGTGCGCTACTTTCCCCCAATCTCTTGGCAGATGTGTTGGGCTACATTTTCCCCCATCCTCTGCAAGTCCATAGGGTTGCACCCAGAGAATATGTGAGGGGGAGGCAGGTCTGGGGATGATGGGGTCGCAGGAATGTCCAAGGGGAAGAGGTAAAACAAAAAATTAACATATCTAGACCCCAGGCTGGGGAAGGCAGCTATAAGAAATGCATTAATGAACTGAGTGTGAGCAGCCATTCAAGAGGTTTTAACATGCAGTACTTTTCTGCTTTGGGAATGTGGCTGTGTATAAATTTCGGATGTGACTCAGAAACAACAGGAGTGTCTCGGAAGCTACAAATAGCATCATCTCCCTGTTACAGATAAAAACTGCTAGTGGGAGTCGATGCAAGACTTAAATGGCATAACTAACAGTTTGAGGATGCCTTGTGTTTACTTCCATTAAATTCGTGCGATCGTATTGCTCTCTAATGTTAGATCTTGAGATTCCAGAACCCAATTCAGCTACAGGGGGCAGTGTTGTTCCGTTAGGATTACATTGCCCTATTTCCCATTAATGTACAGGTAGTCCTCGATGTCTGACCACAATTGGGACCCAAACTTCCATCAGTAAGCGATGTGGTCATTAAGTGAGTAGCACCCAATTTAACGACCTTTTTTGCCATGGTTGTTAAGTGATTCTTGCTTCCCCCATTGACTGTGCTTGTTGGAAGCCCCCTGGGAAGGTCACAAATGGCGATCATATGACCCCAAGATGCTGCTGGTTGCCAAGTACTCAAATTTTGATCGCGTGACCGCGGGGACACCAACAGCCATATGTATGAGGACCAATCATAAGTCACTTTTTTCAGTGCCATCATAACTTCGAACAGTCATTAAGCGAATGGTTGTAAGTCAAGGGCTACCCGTATAGAGCATATTGAACCTGCAATACCCCATTCAGTTACAAGGAGGCAATATATCCTATAGATTCCATTACAGTGCTCTATTCTCCCCATTGAGCCTGCAGTACCCTTGCAGCCACCAGGGGACAGTATATGCCAAGAAATACATTACACCATGATACAGATTGAAGCAGAAATACTAAAATAGTCACTAGGGATCCCATGGGTTCAATACATTGCCCAATATTTCATATCAACTCTGCAATACTCAGAGGGGCAGTTCTTCCTATTATTGACTGACCATGTGTCATCAGCGGCTGCATACATAGATTATATCAATCTGTTGCTAACCTGTTTTTTCAAGACTCCCAAAGGTGCTTCCATCAACATTGTAACTGAGTCCACCCCCCTTGCTGCCGGTCATCCTCTTCTTCTCTTTCCTTCCACCTTTCCCAGCATTAGAGCCTTCTCCAGAGAGCCGGGTCTTTGCATAAGGTGTCCGAAGTAGGATTATTTGAGCCAGGTCATTTGTGCCTGGGGTGAACTCTGGGCTAATTTGTTTGGTGATCCATTTGTTCGTTTTCTTCGCTGTCTCTGGAATTCTCAGGGTTCTCCCACACCGCAGTTCAAAAGCGTCACTATTCTTCCTATCCTGCTTCTTCAAAGTCCAACTTTTACTTCCATAGTGAGGGGATACCATGGCTGGCACAACCCTGATTTTTGTAGACACACAGCATCTGAATCTCTTTTCCAAGAACTCCATGATTGCTCTGCCAAGTACAGCGGTACCTCGG